ACTTTGTTCATAAGTTAATATTTATGTCAATAAAAATATGAATTGTCATGTAATAATTTAACAAAGTAATAACCATTTATAAATTGAAAAATATTACTTGATAAGAAATTATTAAAATATATTTAACAATGACAGTCTGTGAAAAATTGGTTGCTATTGGTGTAGTGTTTTTCTACGCATGGGCCTGTTGTACATGTTGCTCTATACTATTTTAAAAATGTGTAAGTTATATATTTATCTAGGTATCTTATCACATCACATCAACAGCCTATATTAGTCCACTGCTGGACATAGGCCTCTCCTTAGAAAAGAGGTTTTGGCCTACTATACCACGCTGGCCAGAAGGGTTGGTATAGGGTTTGTTTAGTGGGCAGGGCGGCAGCACGGGACCCTTTCCTTCCGACTGACGCAGGTGCTTTCCGGGCACGGTTGCTTCGGAAAGTACCTGCACACGGTCGCTAGGAGGGAACTGAGTCCCGCCTGCCACCACTGCGACTGCAGTGAGGACTCGGCCCAGCACACGCTGGCGGTCTGCCCCGCATGGGCGGCGCAGCGCCGGGCCCTCACTGCAGTCATCGGAGTGGATCTCTCGCTACCGGCCGTAGTACGCTCCATGGCCGGTAGCGACAGTTGTTTTACCGCGGTCGCAACCTTCTGCGAGGTAGTAATCTCGCGGAAGGAGGCGGCGGAGAGGGCCCGGGAGGACGACCTCCACTCGGACCCGATCCGCCGCCGGCGAACCGGGCGGCGGAGGCCCGCCTACCACAGCCTCATGCCGCCCTGAGTGTGGCCGCTGGTGGACGGGGTGGGTTTCCCCTCCACCCGCATTAGTTTGGCCAGCCGCGAGGGGGCGGCGTCCGCGTGTGCCGGACGTCGCCTATAAAGAGAGGAAAACATCGAGACGGAGCCCGCACCAGGAGCGGGCTGGCGCTAGGAGGGGTCCGGATGTCTTAACAACAGCTGTTCCCGGATCCCTCCTGTTACAGGCGCAGAGTGGCACACCGTGTGGTTTTAGTCGGTCCGAGTCCGACACACCACCCCGCCGCAAACCCCGGAGGGGTGACGGTCCGAGGGGATTTCCACACGTTAAAAAAAAAAAAAAAAAAAGGGTTTGTTTCAAGTTTTCCTTCTTTCTGCAGTGCTGTTCTCCTGCTTAGTTTGCTCCCTTAGTCGGCTCTTACGACACCCAACGGGATGAATTGGGGTGGTGACAATTTGTATTCTTAATCCGTCACCACACGGACAGGTATCTTATACTCGTATATATATATACATAAAAGATGTTGGTTTGTGTACGCTTCAAAACTTAAAAATTAAATTTTGGCAGCATACAGACCGCTTGAAGAACCGGTTTTATTTATTATTCGCGACAATGTTGTTGTTGTTGTTATTGTAAATAGGAAAGGTCTATGTCCAGCAATGGGCTATTAAATCCTATTGATGTGTGATGTGATGTATTATAATATCTATGTGTTACTTTCGAGATAAAGATACATTTATAGTTTAGACTTCTACAGCTCCGGATCTAGGGTCCCCCCTGGTGCAAACTGGGGCACCCGCTCTGGGGACGCCAAAATCAAAATATAGTATGATTAAAAACAAAAAATTTGCTCCACAAAGCGCCTAGCATACGGAAGCCTGGTTGGCTCACCGTCGACTTGTAAGAAAAAGGCTGTATACAGGCCCACACTCCAAGTGAACTTATTTGTGAGCTTTTTTAAGTATTTTGTCTCAAACGCTGGAGAGAGGGGCGCCACTATCAAGTTTATAACCCGGTTCGAAAAAATCGTAGATCTGGGGCTGGAACTCTAGGCAAAAAATTGTACCCTGTGCAGCATGAGAGAGCCACGCTTCGGTCCATATGGGCCGGCTGGACAGGAGTAATACCGCGGGTTCTCAGAAAGCTGGTGGTAATCAATTCTTTCGTTGTGTCACCGAATGAGTGAGGTTCCTGCAGCACCAATATCTCTCTCACTCATAGAGCATACGGGTTACCTGATGGAAAGCGACTACCACCGCCGATGAATGCCTGCAACTCAGGAGTCGCAAGCGCGTTGCCGGCCTTTGAGGAAGGAGTAAGCTTTTCCTTGAAGGTTTGAAGGTCATATCGATTCGGAAATAAGTGTCATGAAAAGTGTACAGTGGTGGAGTGCCAATTATCTAAGTGGTGGGGATAATAATTTTGCCGTGTGGAACGATGGCGGAAAGTTGCGGCCGGTATTAGTCCGATCAATTCCTCGGAGCACTCTCCAGAACCTTTGAGTTCTAGGTGCCAATGAACGGAGTTCCTTACCATTAAGTAACCCGTCTTCTCATTTACGGGCAAGAAAAAGACGCCTACAATAATATTAAACGCAGATATCGTCTTTACAAAATGCTAGTAATAATCTTGTAGGCGTTTATTTGTCTTTTGCAATCAGTCTTTTCCTGTGATGTATGTATGTCCATAGAGAATCAAAAACTTTTAAGGTCATTGTTTTTGAGATTTCTATTGGTGTGCAGGATTGCAGTCACCAGATAACAGCTAAAGTACCTACATTAAAGGGAGTATGGGTGTTTTTTATGTATTATATAAATGTATTTACAAAAAAATGCATATAAGTATTCTATCAGTCAATCTAGCTTTCATAGTACAAGCTCTGCTTAGTTTGAAGCTAGATGGCGTTGTGTGTTAGATGTCCGAAAATATTATAATTGTTACAAATGGCAAATTACCGTTAAGTAACTAAAAATTATAAGTCGTTACGTCATCACCATACTGACATACATAAGCTATAGGAATATAATAGAGGGAGAGCCATGCGTCGGTCACACATGGGCCGGCTCGACGGGAGTGATCCCACGGACGCACAGAAAACCGGTGTTAAGACATTTTTTTGCTGCTTTTCACAGAGTGAATGAGTTCACCAGAGACTAAACCCCTCCCCCCTGATTCCTCGATGATGGCTGAAGGGGCAGCAACGCATTTATCTCTCTTGACTTGTAGGTGTCCACGGATGGCGGTTAGTTACCAAGTACCACTAGGAGTCCCGGTCACTCGTTTGCCCCCTATGTATTAGGAAAAGAAATTAGTTACAAAAGTTTAATATCATCATCATCATCAGCCTATCGCAGTCCACTGCTGGACATAGGCCTCTCCCATTGCACCCCACTTAGTTCGATTTTCGGCTTTCGGAAGTTTGATATAAAAAACCCTAATTAAGTTAGTTTATTTAAACAATATTTAAAATAACTTACTTGGGTAGGTGATTTTAAGTATCTTTTAAGATACCTAAAATTATGTATTAACTCACGTACGAAGCCTATTTGGATCACTAGTTAAACATATTATAGTAATAGTACTTCTGATCGAAAGAGGTTTATGCATTTCTATCACAAACTATTTTAAAAAGAAGTCAACACAGAAGAAGTAATAAAAAAAAGTTAATTGTAACTGTCAGATTATTAAAAGTTAGGAATAAATAAAAGGCTTTTAAAGCATTTTTTTTAGTTTTATCAAGTAAAAGAGTAAAAATATAATATATTAAATATTGCAATATGTAAAATATTGTTTCCTTGATATACGAAATTAAAAAATAAGTGACAATGTGTGATTGCAGAAATTATGTTTCTCACTGTTGCTATGTCTGTTGCTGTTTTCTGTTTTGTTGGCTATGTATATTTAGGACTGGCTTATAAATAGACAGCCTACGTATAATATAATTCTATAGTCTATAGTCTTGTGAACCGTATGGGGTAAGTGTTAAGAATATTGTTTGCAACCTCTAGATTCCGTACCTCAGTTTCAGTACCAATCCTTTTTGTTGGAAGATGGGGCAGAGGAGCAGACGCTTCACCTGATGGAAAGTCACTACCGACGCCCATGAACGTATAATAATATATCTCACACACTCACACACGGCCGTCTGATCCCAAACTAGGCAGAGCCTGTGCTATGGTAACCAGACCACTGATAAACATACTTATATATTTCTAAATACATACATATTATAGATAAATTACACCCTGACACATAACAAATGACCGTGCTCATCACACAATATTTGTGCTGGGTGGGAATCGAACCCCCGACCTCCGGTTTAGCAGTCAGGGTCACTAACCACTAGACCAACAGGTCCCGTATGAGTCACAAACGCATTGCCGTCCCCTTGGTGATTATTATTATTATTTCATTATCTTGGGCAAACGAGCATACAGCCCACCTGATGGGAAGTAATTGCCGCCCCCATGTACACCTGCAACACAGGAGTCATAGGTGCTTTGCCGCCTTTTGAGCCTCCAATCATTATGCTCCCATCATGAGCATTATTACATACTTGCTTGCTGTTATAATTCTACTAAGAGTACTATAAACAAAAATAAATTATAATGCTTAATTTTTTTAAATATTAATATAAACTCTTATTCGGTCAACAAAGTGTAAGCTATGGTGGTATAATTATAATACAACAATTAAATATTCATATCATTTAATTCATAAAAATGTAATATTATTGTATTTAAATGTAATTTAACAATCAGTTTCTACGTGACTTGAAAACAGAATACATGATTCACTTAATGCTAATGACACGTATGTGAAATATATAAATAAAGGACCTAACTATTTAAGTAAAACGGAAATATAACGTTATCTAAGTTAAATAAAAAGAGAATGAACCTTTTAGATGTGCATACAAAATGTATCTGTCTCTCTAATATCACTAAAGACTATAACGGGAATCCTGATTACTAGTATAAAAACACACCCCCAAAATTGTAATATTCTTGTAATGTTTTGGCTCACAGAGGTCTATGACAATATGATTGTCATCTATGAGCACATAGAACAAGAATGTTAGTTATTTACGATCTTAAACGAATAAAAACAGACTATATATAGAATGATTATAACGCACAAGTAACAAATACATTCACAAAAAAAAAATTAGTTCCTCGATTTTTACTTACTCAACCTCGACTTCGTTTAAAATTACTTAGGCGCAATGTTTAATATCTTCTTATCCAAAGGGAGCTACTTGTTCACTACGACTCTCCCAATCTTCTTCACTGGTTATTTTAACAGCTTTCTTCGACTCCTCCCACAAACGTTTGGTCAACAGCCTATCTTTTGTGCTCCAAGGATTCATGAACTCTTTACAAAACTTGTAATTTTTGCCACTGACTTTCTCTAGCTCTGGTGCTGACGCCAAGTATCCTATCTGCTGACCCACTTCTTCTTTCCTTTGTCCAATCATGTTTATGAAAAATTTAGAAACATCTTGCACGATACTGGGTACGTTGCTCAGCACATCGGTGTCTCTTACCACAAATGGATCAAAAGTATTAGCAGTAACACACGTATTATGTAATCTTCTGTCCAGTTCTGCATTAAACAATGATACAGCTAACTTAGAATTAGCTAGACTAGATATTATATTATACCGTCCAACATCATTCCAATGATCAAAATCGATGTGACCGACATACATTGACGCTGCTACACCGTTGATTATTCTGCTAGGCGCTGACGCTCTTAACTTAGGCAGTAATAGAAATGTAAGCAGGAAAGCGCCGAAAAAATTCACTTGCATTGTTAGGTTTAGGTCATCTGCTGTCAGTCTATCAGGTAACGCAACTGCTCCCGCGTTGTTTACTAAAATATCTATCGTATTTTCCATATTAACTTCATTTGCGAAGCTCCTCACTGATTGTAATGAACCTAAATCAATAATTTTGTAAGCGACATTTTGATTGCCCGTAGCTGATATAATTTCTTCTCTGGCGTTTTTCAGTCTGGTTTCGTTTCGGCTTCCAATAATAACTTTAGCACCACGATTGGCCAAATTCTTCGCGGCTTCCAAACCCATTCCAGCACTGCCACCGGTCACCACCACCACTTTGCCGTCCAGCCGCGCGTTGGTATCACACATGTCTAAGACAACACAGTACACTGGTGTCTGACCAAGTACTAAAGCATATGAGGAAAATTTTAATCCTTATTGTATTTTTTATTATTTTGATCTCAAGGCGAAAAGGGTTCTGCATTACAATAAGATCTCGATTCATTTCCGTAAACATAAGTGTGTGTGTTGAATGTGACTTTTATTATAATCTTGTATAACGATATGAAACCAGCATATTATTAAACTAAAACAGTACTAAAGAGAAGGAGGAAAACAACATTCAAATTATTATTAATTCAAGTAAGAAAAACTCGTTGCTTTGATTTTGTAAATCACTAAGCATGACTTAAAGTATGTACTTTAAGTATGATAAAAAAAAAACATATTGTTAACATTTTCCATGTTCTAGGAATCTTATGTTGACTAGCTTGTCGGTCTATTGGTCCCGACTGCTAAACTGGTGATCGTGAAATAGATTCCCAGCCGGGACAAACAGTTGCGCGATGATTTTGATGATTTTGAAATATATAGGATCTAAAAATATACAATATTTTAATTTTATTTTAACTGCCTGGTTTTCGGTATGGGTATTGGTTGTGGGCTCTAGTTGCCGCATTTAGACTCAAGATGGTTCTTATTGCGTCAAGGACAGGTTGGCTAGCTGAGCCAACCAAGCTCCTACCAGAAGTGCAGAAGCCTCCTGGGGCGTTCACAGGCTTCTAGGAGCGATTTTGTTTCAGGAATAAAACTTGCCCGCCGTGTGGCCTCTCCCTCGCATTCCAGGATTACGTGGGCGGCTGTTTACTGTTACTATTCGGATTTCTCGTCTGCTAGGAATGATCAATCTGCAGGTGACTCGTGGTGTGACTTCAGTCAGCACCAGTTTGGACTGTATGCAGCCGGGTGAGTTTTTCCACCTCCGGTCGTGTGCTTCACGAGTCCGTTGCCTGTCCCAGAATCGAAGTGGCTTAAAAGGTAGTGGCAGCAATATGGTTGGGCCGCTAGCCGGGGTTGCCGAGCCCCTCCTTGCCAACTCATCTGCGGCGTCGTCCCCGTGTGCCCTTTAATATCTTACCACATTTAATGTGACTCCATTATAAAACATCCATCTAGGATAAACCTATTCATTACTCTTAAACATTCACTTACTTTTACCGTGGAAGAGCCATTCTGCAACACTAATATGCTAACTAGAGGGTACCAGGGCCTCACAGAAAATCAGTGTTACTCAATCATTTCGTTACTTTTAACCGAGTGAGTGAGGTTGCCGAACCTCCTCTCCCACCCTATTAGGTTAAAGGTCAGATATTTACTGAAAATTTCTCCTTAAACAAAAAACCTCAAGAAATCCATAAAAAAATATGTCTACTACTTAACTTCACACACGGCAGTTTGTGGTAACCAATCTGCTGAGAAACATACTTAATTCATACATAATATTATAGATAAATTCCACCTACACTCAGAACAAATGATCGTGCTCATCAATCATCATCATCAACAGCCTTTAACAAACTGTTAAAGGACTGTTAATGGACTGCTGAACATAGGCCTCTCTTCAGAAAGGAGGTTTTGGCCTACTATACCACGCTGGCCAGACGGGTTGGTATAGGGTTTGTGTCAAGTTTTCCTTCTTTTTGCAGTGCTGGTGTCCTACGTTGTTTTGCGCCCTTAGTCGGCTCTTACGACACCCACGGGATGAATTGGGGTAGTGACATTCCGTATTCTTAATCCGTCACTACACGGACACATGATCGTGCTCATCACACAATATTTTTCATGGGTGGGAATGGAACCCACAATCTCTAGCTTAACAGTCAGGGTCACTAATCAAAAGGCCCTCAAAATTAAACTACGGATTAATAATATCGTGTAATTTCTAGTTAAACGATAGCGCTCGAGTTAACTTAATTTTAAGTGAAATTAAATTAAGCTGTTAACGGGAGAATTATGTGAGATACAATAGTATCGAGAATCCAGGTCCTTGTCAAAAAAACGACCTTTTAAATAAAATACTTGTTGATCCAGTTATTTCCAAAGTTATTTTAAGATTATAAGGTCTAGATTTACAATTCTGTGTATCGATGACGATTGATAAATTAAGACATTCTTTTTTTAATTTTTATGGTATGAGGGGCTAAAGAGCACACGGATCACTTTATGGTAAGTGACTATCGCCGTCCACAGACACTAGAATTACGGGGAGGAACGCGCACCAGGGACTTCCTTTCTAGGGTATACCTGGTTCCCCGGCTATTAGTACCCGAGACGGCGTGCGGTTTTAGTCGGTTCGAGTCCGACATGCCACCGACAGGTGGTATCCGAGGGGATTTCCGCACGGAAAAAAAAAGGGGGAGGAACGAGTGTGGTGCGTCTGGTAACTTCACTCACTCGTTGAAATGATTAGAAAGAATTGCTTGACGCCGAGTATGAGTCCGTTGCTTCACTGCGATCATATAATATGTGGCGAAGGTTGACTCTCCCATGTACAAAATACAAGTTCTTCTAAATATAAACATGTAGTATCCCAAATGTATTTTGCTTTTGTGCACCATATCACGTACCTATTATTGAAACTATTATTAAGTTCGGTAGAAGTATGATATTTCTGTAACATGTAATTATTTGACGGGTCTGTTGGTCTAGTGGTTAGTGACCCTGACTGCAACACCGGAGGTCGTGGATTCGATTCCAACCCAGGACAAATATTGTGTTATGAGCACGGCCATGTGTTGTATCTGGGTGACATCATCATCATCAACAGCCTATAATAGTCCACTACTGGACATAGGCCTCTCCTTAAAAAGGAGGTTTTGGCCTACTATACCACACTGGCCAGACGGGTTGGTATCGTAATAGGTGTAATTTATCTATAATACTCGTATGTATGTATTTAAAAATATATATTTTAAGTGTGTTTATCAGCAGTCTAGTTATTACAGCACAGGCTCTGCCTAGTTTAGAATCAGACGCCCATATGTGAGATTTGTGCGATATATTATTATTAATTACGTTGATTAAAATATTTTTTCACTTTCATATATATTTTAATTTTAAGCAACTCTCGCACTAGTATATATATTGTGTCACGGGGCTCCTTACAAACATTCATAAAACGAACACAAAGAATACCCAGACTCAGAACAACTTTTTGACGTGACAACGTCTTATAAATTGGTTTGCCGGGTGACACTTCAAGAAACTGCGTTACGCTCCGCTCACGTTATGCGCTCACAATGAGAGCGAGTGAGAGGCACGCGTCCCTTCCACTCGGGCATGGTTAGCCCGCCTAAGAGCGAGAGAGACAGACATAAAAAGTGAAAGGCACGCGTCCCTTCCACTCGAGCACAGTTAGCCCGCCTAAGAGCGAGAGAGACAGAGTGAGAGAGATAGGCATACACACCGGTTCATGTCTTGCGCTTCTATTTTTTAAATATAATTCTTTGTATAAATAAATGTTTTAAATTGTTACTATTATTTCATCCTTCTTCCTACTATACGAATGAATATTCACATTAAAATTATTTTACCACTCAAAGTCGTTGTCACGTAAAACTTTCGCCCGTATACCGACTTTACAGGCAACCAATATTTTTTTTTTGATCACACATTAATGCTGTCCCATGTTGGGAATTGAGCCAACAATACCGCGGATGACCGCTTAAACCACTACGCCATCCGTGCAGTCAATACTAAGTAGATCCGGGTAAACCTAGGCTTAGCAAATCTTTTAGCATTACCTGTAACATAAATATTCTTCAGTCCTTAATTTTCCAAACTTGGAGGTGGTGTTTTTCCTTCAAATTCGAATGAGACTGAACGTAAGGGATTAGTAAATCATAAAGAAATAACAAATAAAGATCATCGACAGCCTTTAATAGTCCACTGCTGGACATAAGCCTTTCCTGAGAAAGGAGGTTTTGGCCTACTATACCACGCTGGCCAGACGGGTTGGTATAGGGTTTATGTCAAGTTTTCCTTCTCTCTGCAGTCCTGTTGTCCTGCGTAGTTTTTTTCCCTTAGTCGGCTCTTACGACACCCACGGGATGAATAGGGGTGGTGACACTATATTCTTAATCCGTCACCACACGTACCAATAAATAAAGATAACAAATAAATTAAACTCATAAAAGCAATGCTGTACCTTGATCAAGGCGAAGTGAAATCACAGACCAACACACAGACAGTGAGAACAGAACAGTTGAACATGATTAACTCGTTAAACTGAAATGTTCTCGAACTGAAACAGACCCTGAAGCAATTATAAACTCGTAACAAGCTCAAACAAACACCTAATGGACAACTAAAGCCTCTAAATGCCTTCCGTACATCGTTAGCAGTCAGTTTTACAATCGTTTTTTTAGTATTCATCAGAATCACTACAGCATTAATATATTTGCGATTTAACTCCTTATAATTTGGTTCTTAAAGAAATGTACCGAATCTTTTTAACAGTCTATGTAATTTCTTTGTTTATTGGATATTGGTGTTCTGTAAGTAGACTTTGAATGAATATTGTCTTGTTTCGCATTGTTTTTTTACCAAACTATGTCAGAAGGATGTTTTTGAGGTTATATGTATGTATATTTATTTGTTACGCTCTGTATCCTAAACTGCTTGATGGTTTTTGGTATTTCAGGTGACGTTAGATTTGTCCTAATCATGAGAGTGATACATCGTATATTTTATGATTTGATTGATGGACATTAAAGTAAATAGAGAATATCATTTTTTTTATGTTAGAGGGGCCAGACGAGCAGACGGGTCACCTGATGGAAAGTGACCATCACCGCCCATGAACGTCTGCAACTCGGGAGTCACAAACGCGTTGCCGGCTATTTAGGAAGGAGTACGCTCTTTTCTTGAAGGTTTGAAGGTCGTATCGGTCCGGAAATACCGCAGACGATAACTCGTTCCACAGATTGGATTGGATTGGGAAATCGCACAGTAGTGGAGCGCCAACTATCCAGGTGATGGTGGAACGAAAGACATTCTTCGTAACCTGCAAGGTTTGAAACAGTTGGGTGTATGTCAAAAGGATTATTTTAAGATTATATTCTTGTACGAAACTTTTCTAGGCCAGACTGTTGTTCAAAGTTACTGTGATGATGAAACTACTAGGGTACCTCTATTATATTGTCATGAATTGATGTAAAATTTCAGGAGGACTTTCACCAAGAGCGAGCAAAATTGAAGTACGCAAATCCTAAATACATCGCCGATGTCGTCGTGTTCACCGGGAGGAAGAGCAGGCACGACCCCTACTTGACCAACATGACAGGTACTTTGCTCATGCCCTATGGAAATAATGTTACGGTAAGTGCATATCTGTGTGGTATATCTGTGTGGTGATGGATTAAGAATACGGAGTGTCGCCACCCCTATTCATCCCGTGGGTGTCTTAAGAGCCGACTAAGGGAGCAAACTCTGCACGAGAATAGCAGTGCAAAGTGAAGGAAAACTTGAAACATATCCTATACCATCCCGTCTGGCCAGCGTGGTATAGTAAGCCTATGGATTATTAGTAGGTAATCTAAGTGTGAGTAAGCCAAAAGCTCCTTTCTAAGGAGAGGCCTATGTCCAGCAGTGGCACGCGTCTTTTGTTTTGACAGTTACGATAAAAAAAATGACATGTAATGTTACTGTACTCATTATCGCCGATCAAAAAATAATTTACTCATTGTATCCTGATTTTGAAATAAAAAAATGAAAACTTACTTTTCTCTTTTTTTGGGGGTTCCTAAAATTTATCATTTAATTTCGCATATTCTGCCAATTTTAGTGCATATTTGAAGCATTTTTCATGTATATAACAAGCTTTTCATGTTGCATATAATCCGGTCCCTAGTTATTATTATACTTGGGTAGACACTAGTGCTATATGTCTTAAATTTGTGTATATTATCGCACTATTCTTTATGTACAGTGCCAAAATTAAATCATCATCTTCTTGAAAATAAATCTCATTACCCAGTCAAACGTTACAAAAAGCGGTCCAGCCTTTCTTGAGCTATAAATAGTGTAACAACCCGAATTTATTTTATATAAAAATATTATGTTATTGAATCCAAACAAATACATTTTAAGTTGCATAATTTTGCATGGAATTTAAATAGAAATATATAAACGATAAAAACAAAGCGAATAACAGTTGAAGGTTGAACTCATTTGAAACAAAGAGGTAACAATCATTTGGATCGATTTATGGAAGGTTTCAATGTGTCTTCCGGTCGACATGAATCTAATGATAATGATGACAATTCTGATTCGCCGATTTTATAAAACCAGTCAATACTTTGTAATTGATTTGTAAAATGACCATCGTAAGTGTGACCGTAGCAGAGACTAGTTTTAATATCAAGCGGATTTTCTTGATTTTGGTCAACGAACTGAACTTTCATAATCTCTTTGTGTTATAACTGTAGGTACAGTTTTCGAAAACTTGTAGAGTTATAACACAAAGGGTAATTTTACACTTTTACACACAGTAATTTTATAGAGAAAATTGTACTGTAGTGTATAGTCCATCAACGTCGTGCGCGACCGTCCTGCGGGGTGACAGACGTTGGCGGGGACGAGGTACTCAAGATGTCAGCGGGTAGCGGGTGGTGTAGCGGGAAAGGGAAACGCTTCTCTTCGTGTGTAGCCGTGTGCTAGAATGACGCGCTACCTCGCCCCCGCCACTGTCTGTCACCCCGCGGGACGGTCGCGCACGAGATTGCCGGGTTATAGTATCTATATTCTACAGTACAGTACAGTCTATCTTGACGGTCCGTAAGAGATCGCAGAGTGCTTCCTAATATTTCTAGATTGTACATTACTTTTTGGGTGCAATAAAGAGTTATGAATCCATTTAATAGCTACATATTATTAATCATAATCAGTCAATTGTTATCCACTGCTGAATGTAGGTCTCTCTCAAGAACCGCCAACTATCCCGGTCTTCGGCAGATCGCTTTCCTCCGTTGCCAGGAACCTTCTTTAAGTCATCAGTCCCTCGTGCTGTAGGGTACCCTACACTACGTTTGCCTTGCCTATTCGAGGTCACCACGCCAGCACATTTCGGCCCCACCAGTCCATCTGGAGATATGACCGGCCTACCTCCACTTCAGCGTATTAATAATGATTTTATAAAATTTTTAGTTCGCAACAACTTTAACGCTAAAGTCTGGCGGTGACTTCCGAATAGAGTCCAAAGTGTGTGAGACTATCAAGTACAAATGGATGAATGAATTCATGAGCTCATTCACCAACTTATCACTAAAGAAGTGTCCCTTTCCAGCTGTGAGTATATTGTTTAATTAGCTTTTTGTTTTGAATTCGATATAATAAAAGTAAAGTAACAAGAAAGAACTAAAGACATATATACAAAAGTTACACACACATACGCACACGCACACGCACACACACACACACACACACACCACACACACCAAACACATAGCAGACCAAGTGGATGCCGAAATATTTGATAAGATTTTAAAACAAATAAGAAAAGAGTATATTCCCCCTCAAAGGCCGACAACGCACTTGTTACTCCTGAGTTTAAGGTGGAGGCAGTTGTAGTCACTTAACATTATACCCATCAGCAGATTTTCAGAATAGGGGTCAAAAGAGCATTTTTTCCCATACGCTACAAAAAAAAAGATATCAAACTAATCAGCACAAAAAACATTTTTCAGTTTATTTGCAGTTTAACTATACTAACTATTAATTATAGCTGTATCAAAAGTGTTTGAAGTTTCTCCTGTCAAGTACACAAGTCACGTACCATTTGTCAAGTTTGTGTAATTCTTTTCAGTAAGTACTGCAACGGAAAGTGTATTTCTCCATAAAAGTTTATTGTAGTACACCATTGTAGCAGAGGAATAGACGTAGTGTCCCTTCGACGTAAGGAGATCATGATCCAGTAGATGTTGAGACGTTCTACATATACATATATCAACCAACACGAGAATTTTAATTGTGTGATTCAACAGCAGGAACTAAGTAGGCTCTACTTCGCTAGATGGCGTTAAAGTATGTTTTTGTTTTTCAAATGGGTGACGTCACACCGCGTTTCGATTTTGAAAAATATCATACTACAAAGTATTAAAGAAAATCACCCAGTAGTTTAGGATGTACAATACTTAGTCGCATCATAATAGCCTTATAGTTATAACAGGCCTTAACCTATTGTTCCTATTTCCAGGCTAGATACACATATATCAACATGGAACTCCCGCCAAAAAATATTCCCCTCCCGATAGCCGACGGTGACTATTGGATTAAGTTTGAATTATACCTCACCTCCACAAAGGAACCTATTTTGGAAATCGACACGCTCTTACATTTTGATAAAACTAAGAAAAATTCTAAAAAAAATAAAAAAGGAAAACATTAAAAATTGTAATTCAATCATTTTGTTTTATTGTAACAAGTTCTTAATCAACTGATGTCTAGCTGGAATAGAGTGATGGAAGGCTCTCAATATTACGAGTGAAATCCTTAATTCGGAATGTTTTTGAATCTGATCTGAATTTAATCGGCTCTTACTGTATTAGAAAGTTGTGATATCGATAGTAACTGTCGATAAATAATTATCGATAGTGCAATAGAATATCGATATTTGTAATAGGTAGCGTAGTAGATAGGTAGGTATATTTTCAATACAATCAAAGTACTATAATAATATTTTAACGCTATCGAAAATATTATTCGAAATATCCGTTTAAGCATGACAAAAACTTATTATTTTGACATTACAAACAGACACTTCAATTTTATTTGTTTGTATAGATTAAAATTGAATAATCCTGTAAAATTGATATTTACCGGATACGCTAATGTACTTTTAAGTGGGCGACGAACAAAACACAAAATTGTAATAAAATCGTTCTTTCTAGTACATCCTGATCTTGTTTGAACTAATAATTGTTAACATAAATACCTAAATGATGTAAGTACCTACTGTGGAATAAGATTTGAACAACAGGGTAGTTTTAATACTAATTGTAAATTAAAAACATTATCTTGTCAGATAAGCTCATCACAGAAAAACGGTGTTAAGTAATGTTTAAACATCCCTCAAACCCCCTTTATACTTCAGGCAGTAACAGTTTAAACACAGCCAATTTTTTATTATTTTTAAAATTGATGGAAAAACGATCCGTTTATTTATCGTTTGTTATCAATCTTACAATATAATCGCATCCTGTAATTTAAATGAGCCAGCATTCAAATAATATTTTTATTTAAATGGTCTAATTATGTGAGTTAAAGGCTAGGTATCAACCTCCTCACCAAATTATATATCACGTACACAAGTATTTGGATCCTACAATCTTCTGTCTTCTTGGTTGGTCGTGCTCTAAAAAATAATGGGTCGATTATTTTTCTCATTTGTAATTATATTGCTAATTGAGGAAACATTTGGAGTAAGAATTTTCTATTCTATATAATATAAGACATAGTACACATTCAGCATAGCATAAGAATTCGTTTATAGGTTTTGGAGTTTATTCTTGTTTATTTCAAATAAAAAAGTTTTGATTGTTATTTGAGGAAACTATAATAAAAAAATGTAATAAAATATTTTTACACAAAGATTAGTATAATAATCCGTAGTATGTTAACATCCTACAATCCTCTCCTTACAAAGGAGGTTTTGGCCTACTATACCACGCTGGCCAGACGGGTTGGTATAGAGTTTGTGTCAAGTTTTCCTTCTCTCTGCAGTGCTGTTATTCTGCGTAGATTTCTCCTTTAGTCGGCTCTTACGACACCCACGGGATGAACAGGGGTGGTGACACTATGTATTCTTAATCCGTCACCACACGGAAGGTGCTCGTATCCCTCTGCCAAAAAAAAAAATTGTTTGGCAAGCTCGGCGCTCTGTAGCTTAAACGTCCTCATGGATTTTGGAGTTGAGGTGTCGCTAGATTGGCGCGGCTGACACTGGCTATATGAAAATTATAAAAACAATATTTTTTATATTATTTATTATTTTGTATATTTAAATAAGTATACATTATCACGCAATTTGGTTTTTTTGTTTCTTTTTTACAATAATTATCTTGTTATTTAAGATCAATGGGCCCAAAATCTGTGTATAAGCAACAAGAGACTAGGTTTTATAGACAAATAATATTCAAATCTATGTATATTATACGACTCGACTTGAAAAATATTACTAAGTGTGCTTGTGAGTGGCATGTGGGTCCAGCGACTCAAACATGTACCAGCGCGACCAGCATTCAGTTATTTATCATTCATTCATTTCATTTATAAATGGGCAAGTAACCCGCTCCAGGTACTAACACTGTGTAGAAGCACCCTAATTCTATTTGAAAAAAGAATATTTGGTGAAAAGAGACGCTTTTTGTTTTATATACCTATGAATAACAGTTTTTTCTGCCCCCCCATGGTTGAATATCTATTTGTTGTAACGAATAGAACGTACAGACAGATCACCTGATAGTAAGTAGTAATATTAAGTGACCGTCTGTTCGTTTGCCCTTATTCCATAGGAAAAAACAACTTAAGAAAAGAGGAGGTTCCTAATCATGATGAAATTATTATCAGCTGTATTCTACATCTTTAAATTTTAGAGGTGGAATATTTACCTACACTGAGTCACGCTATTTTAAATTCAATTCGTTTTACTCCATGGTGGTGCCTTTAAAATTAGAAGATAGAGAACACAGCTATTTTTAATAGTTAATAATATTCTGGCTGTTCGTTTTCCCCGTCAGTCCTTTTTTTTTTTTTTTTTTTTCGTCAGTCCCTAAAACAATTGCTACTATATATGTGAGGTTTCATCATCATCAACAGCCTTTAACAGTCCACTGCTGGACATAGGCCTCTCCTTAGAAAGGAGGTTTAACTCAAACTAATTATTAGTGCTTGGCAAAAAATTCAAAACAATTTACGTGTATTTTATAATTTCTAAAAACCTTTTTATATTATTGCACACAACTTTATTGCAAGATTAACCTAGTTAGTTTCCAAAATTAACAGATATCATGTGATGGACATGAAAAATTTGCATGTGGTATTAAAAATCTCTCATCAGTATCCTTTTGGTTTACTATTACACTGGTTTGGTTATGTGATGAGGACGATCATTTGTTCGGAGTTTAGGTGTAATTAGTATGTGAATATGTGTATTGAGAAATATATCTCAGTAGTCTGGTTACCATTGCAGAGGTTAGCCTAATTTGGGATCAGACGGCCGTGTGTGAGGTGTGTAGTTAATATTATTACTATTTCAGGATGAACTTCGTCAAGAAGGCGCTACTATCAAGAACTGCAACAGTAATTACATAACCAAATGTTCAGCTTTAACGAAGCGTATGAAAAGGGGGGAACCTTACCGAACCAATGTAACCTTTACTACCGTAGTACCATTCACTAATAATGTCACGGTAAGATACTTTTAAATGTTCACTCTTACTAACAATATATAGATTAATCGTAGTGATAGGTATGATATGACACAGCCTCACAGAAGACAGCTGGTAAGCAATTGTTTCATTGCTTTTCTCCGATTAAGTTACAGGAGTCCAAAGCCTCTGATGGTGAGGGGAGGAGTGACACATAGGGGGCAACGTCACAAGTGTGATTACAAAAAAAATCTAGCAAGAAACTATTTGGTTACCCGAGGAATTCTTCGGTCTTATACCGGTCGCAGCTTCCATCCCCATCACTTGGATAATTAGCATTCCATCACTTAGCACTTTCCAAGAAACTTTTTGCGTCCCAAAAAGTTGCCCTTTTCTGGAGAAGCAGGAGAGCCATCTCCCACGGTTATTATTTGGCTATTAGGACCGATAGGATTGACAAATTCAGGCGGGTTTCCCGCCCGGGCACGCCGTCATTGCAGCGGTAAGACCCGTTATAGAGGGTGGAGCAGAGGCGTAACCTGGTACAGAGTGAAAGCTCGTCGAATTTCGTTGTCTCCTTCTGCAAACAAGTTTTGCTTGCGAAGGAAACAGCAGAGCGGGAATGGAAGAGGTTTAGAACTCTCCCGGTCAGCCAGGTATCGCAGACGACTTGGCACCGGAGGTCGCTGAATGGCTTCCATCTCCATACAGGTGAGGACATCTGTCATCCTAGCAGCATCGGGCCGGGATGGCGCCGCGACGCGTTGCCGAGCGCGGGCGCTCTTTTGAGAAGATCCAAATTCCCACATAGGAGGGGGTAATCTACAAGCCATAGCAGACGCGGGGTAGTTCCGGGTACCAGGGATTTTTCTTTTTAGGGTACACCTGGTTTTCCGCCAACTGGCACCCGAGACAGTGAACGGTTCATAGTTGGTTCGCATCTGTGAAAACCACAAGTTGGTATCTGAGGGGATTCCCTCACGGGCACGGAAAAAAAGGCGGATTTCTCGCCCAATTTCAATTAATAATATCCAACGGATTACTTTATCTACATTGTGCTATTTTCAGATGAAGTACAGCTACGGTGTAAAGGGATACCCTAACATGCTATCGATAAAAACGAAAATTTGTGATATACTCAATATTACTTGGTTAAAAGAATATATTGGAATGTTCTCGGATATCCCACTATCGTGTCCAGTGAAACCAGTAAGTAAGATGTCTATTGAAAGTGATAATAAACTCAAAGATGGTACACGCCTCATCATCATCAACAGCCTATACTAGTCCACTGCTGGACATAGGCCTCTCCTTAGAAAGGAGGTTTTGGCCTACTATACCACGCTGGCCAGACAGGTTGGTATAGGGTTTGTTTTTCAGCGTGAGGTTTTTATACCCGCGTATTATATTCCATGATCGGTGGTAAATCAAGCCGCAATACTGTCAAAAGTGTTGTGTTATTGCTGAAATAAAACTTTCTTTGTTTGATCTTAAATACACTCAGTACGCATTGCGAATATCTATACTAATGTTATAAAGCTGAAGAGTTTGTTTGTTTGTTTGAACGCGCTAATCTCAGAAACTACTGGTCCGATTTGAAAAATTCTTTCAGTGTTAGATAGCCCATTTATTGAGGAAGGCTATAGGCTATATATCATCACGCTAAGACCAATAGGAGCGGAGCACCAATGAAGAATGTTTCAAAAACGCAGAAAATTTATTACTATTGAGAGACGCAGACGAAGTTGCGCGGGTCAGCTAGTCTACTATATATGCCAGAACCAGATGTACTTTATACTACAAGAATCGTTCGTAATCGCCACCGTATCGCGTTCAATTTGCTTTTCTTTTTACGTTTTTTTTTTTCGCTCGTGCGGAATAGTCCTTTATTGATCCCATGTGTCACAGATATTTGTGAAAAAAAAACATGCTGTGAAATATCGCTATTTACAGCTATTTTAGCACATGTTTGATCATGCCTCATCTTAGCGACAAGTTTCGTAATCATCATGGATTGTTCCAACGAGGCCCCCATAGTCCCCCTACCGTTGGCAAAAGTGCATTGCTCCGATGGATGTTCATCGGCCTGCTAATCTTTGAAATATCGCTGTTTACAGCTACCCTAAGTAAACAAATATTTCTCCTGCAAGTTACGACAGTTGTTTTTTCCTTTTTTAAAGGTCTACTAGCAACCGAAATTACTAGTATTCCCGTTATCCCCTCCCGCTAAGCTAAATTGCTTGTTTACGTCGGTAGTGTACTGGTCAGGATTTGAACCCACGACCTCGTGATCGCAAATCCAACGCCTTAACTACTAAGCTATCACCGCTATTATTATTTCATTTACCTATCCACATACTAAATATCTACAAATGTATTTAAATTGTATAATATTGTGAATACATACATTTAAGTTACAATTATATATTTTATTTTAAGTCAGATCATATAACCCGCCCCGCGTCGCTCCCGGTGCAAAGGTGCCCATGATACTGGCAGCATTGCCTCGCTGAATTGCAACGGACATTCTTTGCACCAGAAACGAGCCGGAGCGGGAGTCACCACTTTTTTATATATATTATGAATAATAACTTTATTAATTTCTGTTCTCAGGGGTCATATGGATTTTACAACATGGAGTTTCCACCAAAAAATTTGCCTTTACCAATTCCCAAAGGGGATATATATTTCACGTGTATTGTGGAAACAACAGATACCAATGAATTAATCACACATTTGGATCTTGTTCTACGTTCAAAATAAAAACAGAAAAGTACAGTTTTTTTTTAATGTTTAAAATAAATCTGTAGAATGTCAGCGTCTTTCTCCGCTGAACACTTTCCTTGTCTTCTGTTGGAAATACTGTTTTGTATTAGTTGTTGTGACGGATTAAGAATACAAATTGTCACCACCCCAATTCATCCCGTGGGTGTCGTAAGAGCCGACTAAGGGAGCAAACTAAGCAGGTCAACAGCACTGCAAAGAGAAGGAAAACTTGAAACAAACCCTATACCAACCCGTCTGGCCAGCGTGGTATAGTAGGCCAAAACCTCCTTTCTAAGGAGATGCCTATGTCCAGCAGTGGACTAGTATAGGCTGTTGATGATTGATGATTAGTTGTTAGCTGCATGCGGTGTATACATGGTGTATTTGTAATGTTCTTTTATATCAGAACAACGACAAAAGATACGACTTCTTCGTTTCAACCTAATTCTGGATACTGAAACTATCCTAATTCTGGAAGCATTGAAAAGACGACAATGCACGTACGAGTATGTCACTTACTATTAAGTGCCTTACTCTTAGCGGTAGTCATTTACTCTTTTATAAAAAACAAAGCACTCCGGGAGTGCCAACAGAAATGAAAACTTGAAAATTCTTTTTTTTTTACCGTAACAGGATTTTTTTTTGTTTTTTTCGTTTCCAAAAGTTCCGACATGAATATATATCTACGAGTATATTGCATGTATATACACAATATTGGTTTATATTATATGTAGTTATATGTGTCCGTGTGGTGACGGATTAAGAATACGGAATGACACCACCCCTATTCATCCCGAGGGTGTCGTAAAGAGCCGACTAAGGGAGCTAAAATACGCAGCACAACAGCACTGTAAAATGAAGGAAAACTTGACACAAACCCTATACCAATCCGTCTGGCCAGCGTGGTATAGTAGGCCAAAATCTTCTTTCTAAGGAGGAGCCTATGTCCAGCAGTGAACTATTAAAGGCTTTGATGATGTGATGTGATAGTTATAATATCAATGTATTTCAACATAAACTCAACTCTCGTGTTAACACAGCCAATATATGTAGATAATTATATACAGAGGTGTCGGTAACGGTAACAGTGTCGCGAGTGCAATGGTTTTTTGCCATCTCAAAAAAAATTTTTTTTTGTTCAAAATTATTAACGCGCCTAAAGAAGATTTCACTTAAAAAATGAAATTAAAACGACTACTCTCATTACTATTTTTATTACTTAGTTGCTAGTACTTAGTATGATTTCAGCAGCTTTTTCAGCGATAGCGATAATTACTGAATTTGGGTACAGTGATACTGGAGATGGGAGGACACTGGCGTCAACTATCCGTAGCCCTGATGTGGACTTGACTCTGAAAAAAACAATTGAGAAAATTACTAAACTTTTTCTCTCTCCAGGCATTTTCCCAAACTAAGATTGGGGTCGGCTTTAAGTTTGGGTTGGGTTTGGGGTCGGTTTGGCAACTGAGACCGATGGTTTAACATGCTCTTCGTCGTACGGAGGAGTCTCAACGTGTTAAAAAATGGTCACCCATCCATAGACGTACCTGGCTAGGGTACCTTAACTTTGCAATGTGTTAAACTACTTACTCGATTATCACCTAGCCATGAGCCCCCGAGAAAATTACCATGTTGCTTTTAGTGTTGTAATAATTCATAAAATTAACACTTTGACGGGCAAATTGTCAATAATAATTACTCTGGCAACATTGTCCAATTTTGCCATAGTTTAGCTATTAAATATTTCCTTTCTTTACTAACTAAGCAAAACCTACCTTAGTTCCTCGTCAACAACTTTGCCCCCTGAGCAAGTGCCGCCAACGTGATGCCCAGTGACAGCCACTTCTCTGATGATACATTCCAAATACGCATCTGGAGGACTTAGGTGTACTGATTTTGTTTTCGGCTTGGGTTTAGGCTGGTCTTTACTGGAATAATATGAGTGTGTTACACATTTAGACCGTGTGGAGACGGATGCAGAATACAGAGTGTCACCACCCCTATTCATCCCGTGGGTGTCGTAAGAGCCGACTAAGGGAAAAAACTATGCAGAACACAGCACTGCACAGAGAGAAGGAAAACTTGACACAAACCCTATACCAACCCGTCTGGCCAGCGTGGTACTCGTATAGTAGGCCCAAACCTCCTTTCTAAGGAGAGGCTTATGTCCAGCAGTGGACTTTTAAAGGCTGTTGATGACATATTTAGAATAGAATAAAATATTGTTTATTTCATAAAGCACAGCATACAAATCTAAACCAAAGTTATTACAATAATAAAAATAAGCAAGAGCCTCGACCAACATCTTCAGAGGCTCGCGTTAGGCAGTTGGATTAAGGGCCTAATGCAGAAAACAGTTCTTCTCGATACGGCACGTATTGTGAGCAGGTTTCTGTCTCTGGAGTCCTAACCACCGATATCTTGGTCCCTGTACCTGATACCACACTATTTTTTGTAGATAAATATATTTAAAAATGTAATTTATCTGTATATTTAATGTAATAAAGAGAATAATAATAAAATTTTCACACATGTCACACACGGCCGCCTAATTACAAACTAGGCAGAGCCTGTGCTATGGTAACTAGACTGCTGATAAACATACTTATATATTTCTAAATACATACATATATAGATATAGTACACCCAGACACAGAACAAATGAGCCTGCTCATCACACAATATTTGTCCTGGGTGGGAATCGAACCCACGACCTCCGCCTCAGCAGTAAGTGGCACTAACTACTAGACCAACATGCCCGTCATGTTGTTGAATGTATGTTTTTATAGCCAACAGGCCAGTCAAAAAGTCAGTTAAATAACAACATACACAAAGAAACTAAAAATGAAATAAGGTTTGATAAACACGTTAACAAGGCAACATTTTTCAATATGTCAATCTTTCATACCTGACAGAATTGACATGAGATGTCAATGTGCCACGTATGCTAAAAAACCTTTAATGTTGCTGAGGGTTGTACGCCGTGTTTCAGAAAATAGGTAGACCCTCAGTGTACACTGTGGTGGATAGATGCCAGGATAGATGCCTCTGATTCTGGGAGGGAGGGAGGGAGGGACTGAAAGGGCGGGAACGCACTAAAATCTTGAGTTGCAGGTCAATGGTGGCGGTCTCTTACCATCAGGTGACTTGTTTGCCGCCTGTTCGTTTTCCCCCCCATACAAAATCAAACAGTGCCACTTCGGGAGTGCCGACTAAAGTGAAAAGTTGAAAATTTAAAAATGTTTGAATATAACATGATTTTTTTTCGATTCGTTGCGACATGAATATATATCTATGTTGTACGTATATACACAATATATATATATATGTTTATAGTATCAAAATATTTCAACCCAAACTCAACTCTCGTGTAAACGGGGCCAATATATGTAGATACTTATATACAGAGGTGTCGGTAACGGTAACAGTAAGTTCAATGGTTTTTTCCACTCTCAAAAAATACATTATTTTGATTAGAGTTCAAAAATACCCAAACGCGCCTAAAGAAGTTTTTACTTCAAAAAAATCTAATGGCATTATAGACTTACAATCTTCGACGTCTTTGTGTGGGTCCTTTCTGCTCTTCTCTAGTATATCTCCACAGAGGCAGACAGCGTTCTGGTCGTGGCCAGTGTATCCATGCCCCAATGTCTTGAAATGGCTTCGATAACACCAGCTGCTCAGCTCTGCGAATAGCTGCCAAGACAGATGAACATAAACTCCCTCATAAAGTGTATTAAAAGGTTAGTTAAACTTTATTTTAAAAAATATATATTTAGCATTTAGAAACAAAACATTTGGAATACAGAGGAACAGAAACAGAACAAGAAGAAGAGTTTATATGTGTACAGAAGGACAGATAAATACAGACAGTTAACGGTTTAAATCAGTGCATTGTATACTTAAAAGAATTATACAAAAAGGGAATACGATACAGGCGTCCAATTTTGTTGTCTTATAACAGTATGAAAAGTATACACATTAACGGTTGAGTTTATACTGGCTATGTACAACATCGTCGAAATTCGATCGCCAACTTGACCATTCTAGTTCTCACTAAGCCTTTAGACCTTGAATGCCCGAGCAGTTAAGTTGGAAAGTTACATGGAAACCTTACCCTTAATCAGACACAGTATATCATATGGCTGTTTTAAATAGTTGGGATCAACCACTGGAGGCATAGTAGTGATTGATTTAGCCAATGTCACAACTCCTCTACTCTTCGGCTGCAAGCAGGTGGCCAGGAACATGAAGCCTTCCTTGTGAGTGATGTTGTAGAAAGGAAAAGTGTCGCGGAAGACCTGGAATTAATGTATTGTGTAGGAAACGCTTAAGTGATTCATTTCTGATTGAATCTAATTGGCGCAATGTGTAACATAGAATTTTGCCTGGTTTCTTTCATTTTTGACTTCCTTGTTATCATTTTCAGACGTGGCAAAAGTCGAAAATAGAAAACGTAAGAGATCAAGGGCATACCCTAGCTCTCTCGCTTTTTTTCCCCATTCAAGACTCACGGTATACCTATATATATATACACGGTACGGTACACCTATATATATATACTCACGGTATATATATATATATATATCTATGTATGATGGATAAGGAAACGACACTTTTCAGTAGCTGGATTTTTTATCACTCAAGACGCACAGGTGTGAAATTAAAGGGCATAAAAAGGGCCGCAATACACCCATATGCCCAGAATGGGGAGGGGGCCGACCTACAGAGATATATATGAGATTAAAATAGGCAGGTAAGTACTACAATGTAACTATTAGTACACAAACCTGCGGTTTATAATTGGATAAGTCCCGGAGCAGTCTCTCACTGGCGGTTCCCATTGAGAATAGTGTTACGGCTGAATCGTTCAGGTATTCCACGCCTGCCACCGGTGGAAATGATAGCGGACCTTCAATAGTAACACAAAATGCAGATATAAATGAGTTAGTAAAAATGAACTGGCCTGTTTGTGTAGTTAGGGAATCTGACTGAAGTCGCTTGGTTCGATTTATACCCACGACAAATATTATGTGATGAGCACTACTAGTATCACCTGTTCTGTGTTCTTGTATAATTTATCTATAAAATAATTATGTATTTAGAAATATATAAGTATGTTTATCAGTAGTCTGGTTATCTTAATACAGGTTCAGTTTACTTTGAGTCCAGACAGCCGTGTGTGAAATGTTTCCAAACTCTTTAAAAAAAAAGTCTAACTGATAGTTCCAGAGGTTGTGCGAATCTTCGTGGATAGGAATGGAACCTAAAATCTCTGGCTTAGCTGTCAAGATCACTAACCACACCACCACGCCGATACAATTCATTTTGTACTATAGCCCATTCGCATTAAGAAAATAGTGACTCATCGATGGGCCCCGCTCGCAGACCAATCAGGTGCCAAGAAATTATCATTTGGTATGAAGGCTATGATTCTCATTAGCTCAATCGATGCGTCACTATTTTCTTAAGGCGAATGTACTATTGTTAGAATTTCTATGCCTTAATTCGTATGATTCTCCTCAGTTTGTTTATGACAAATAAATTGGCCCAAAAAGTGTGTGGTGTTTACCAGAATTTTTCCAGTAGTACTCCGTGAGGGTGCTGAGGGTGAACACCTTGGATAATGTGATACTGATCGGTCGCTGGATGCTCACGTAGATGGGCATGTTCATGTGGTCGTGCAAGTTTTGTCCAACCTCCTCGTTGCCCGACACCAGGTTTATTTTCAACCTGGAATGTAAAATAGGTAAAAATTCGGATATCTGACACACAACGCCATTTAGTTTCAAAGTAAGCAGAGCTTGTACTATGAAAACTACATTGACTGTTTTTTGCAAATACATACATATTATACATAGAAAACACCCAAACTCCGAAACAAATTTTTGCAGGTCATACAAACATTTTGTTATTTTTTAAAGAGAACTCCCGTACTAGGAATATATCCTGTGTCGCGAGGGACTTTTTAAACATACATGAAATGGACACAAAGAACACCTAGACTCAGAACTATAATTTGTGGATCACACAAGTGTTGTCCCATGTGGGGATCGAACCCACTACACTCAGCGTAGTAGGACAGCATACCTATCGAAACCTGTAGCAAGATGAATAAAAAAAAATTTAAAACTGTTTACATAAAATATTTACTGTCTAGCTGATACTCTACTTTATAAATATACATAATAATATGTAATTAAATTGTAACTGAGATGTGTCTGGTATACCACGGATAAACTCTTGATGGTTTGTGTGGTATACGATGGATAAAATGCATGTGTGAATTTTATATTAGACAATGAATAATAAAAAAAAAAAGGAAGTTGCGTGGCGACCGATTAAACCACTACGCCATCCGTGCTGTCTTGGACCGACCCGGGAATCAAACCCGAGACCTCAGCACAGCAGTCGCATGCGCTACCACTGCACCACGGAGGCAAAGTCAAGGTACTTGCTAATTCTGATTTTATGGCCTGATAGAAAAAAAATACAATTGGTAATACACAAAATGACTATTACTATTTTTATAGTATAGAGGCCTAAAGGGGGTAAGTCAGAGTACCTTGGCCAATGGATTTCTGCAACTCAAAAGACCTTGCCTTTGAATGTTCAATCTCAAAGGTGGGAAGGGGAGGGAGGTAGAGCTTTAGTAACCTCACCGTGAGAAATAACTTTGGAAATATATTTTTTGACAGAGCTCTGGGGTAATAAACAGAAAAGAAAACAGCAGCCACAACTTCCTCTTTTTTTAAGTCGTTTAAAAGCGGCGTTTTGTGCTTGCGATAGATAATTACCAATTGATAATTAAGTTAATTGCTGAAACTAATATTATTTGTAATCTTCTTTAGTAAACAGTGCATCGAAAGCAAAGAAGAAACTACACGAGATCCTAGACTTCAGATTAAAACTCTGGAGAATCATCATAACCTGATAAACAAACTTTACGATATTTGTATAAATATTTTAAGTACCTTCGCAATAAGTCTGGTGGCCCAATTCCAGACAGCATCAACAGCTGTGGTGTTTTAATGGCGCCAGCGCATAGTATTATTTCTTTGTTAGCGAATATATTATTCAATTCACGGCTATTCTGAAGTATGTATAGAGATGACGCAGTGTTGTTCTCGAAACGAATCTGAAATGTAACGTATGTATATAACTACAGGACAAAGCGTTTTAACGATTTGCCATATTTACCGTCAAGGTAAAGTCAACTGAGAATGGTTTTTTATGATATAAGAGGGCATGGGTAGTCGGATCACCCGATCTGACTGCTCATTTGCCGATATTGACTATCGCTGCCCATGGACAAATGCAACTCAAGAATCTTCCCCTCCCTCTCTAGAATCAGAGGCAGGGCAACCCCACTCACTTAGTAGAAAGCAACTAAAAAATTGTTTAACACCAGTTTTCTGTGAGGCCTGGTATCCCTGACGTCGAAGAATATATATCATCATCATCATCATCAACAGCCTTTAATAGTCCACTGCTGGACATAGGCCCTCTCCTTAGAAAGGAAGTTGTGGCCTACTATACCACGCTTTCCAGACGGATTGGTATAGGGTTTGTTTAAAGGTTTCCTTTCTTTGCAGATCTTTTGTCGTAGTTTGCCCCCTTATTTGGCTCTTACGATACCCACGAGAGGAATAGAGATAGTAACACTACGTATTCTGAAATTTAGGAATGACAGATCCTTTTAAATTTAGACTACATCATTTCTAAAGCCACAATCTCTTTCCAAAGTCAGCTAAAACTTACTGAAACAGCTTGGGTTCTAAGAAGTATGTGCAAGTTCTTTCTCTTCATCACTGGCTTAAGGTAGGCATCTAAAGAAGAATGTCTTCCGCCTTCTTGGATCGTTGCTGTCGGTCTTCTGAATATCGTATTCGTCTTGAAGGCGGCTGATGTTTGTTTAAATGTATTCATCAGCTCATTATCTTCGTCAATTAGTTTGAGTTTCATTGGTACCTGTGATGTGGACAAAAACCGTAGAGACGTAGTTTAGCAAAACCAACAATTTCATGACATGTTCAAAGTCTATTAATTAATATTTAGCGCGATTTCTGGTCGCGCTAAATATCACATCAGCACACAACCCATCATAGAGTAATCTTATTTTCCACTCACCTTAGCACCAGGACAATCTGCGTCAGCAGCACAATGGCTTGAATCAAACTCACTTCTTGCTGTGCCAAATGCCTTTATAAAATAAGGTCTAAGGTCTTCCTCAGACCAACCCTTCCAACCCAGTCTTGTCCACCTATCGTAGTCCGTAGTTAGGCCAAATCCGTGAAGGAGAAAATTTATCTGCCCTGATCCACCGAGGCCTTTACCTCGTGGAATGAATTGGGACTGAAAATATAGTATAAAATTTATGAAGCAAATTTTTACATATTTAGCCGTAGATCAGTATAATTATACTATTACGGGTGTACCTATAACGCTATGTACCTACTCTATTGTTTGTCATCATCAACAGCCTTTAACAGTCCACTGCTGGACATAGGCCTCTCCTTAGAAAGGAGGTTTTGGCCTACTATACCACGCTGGCCAGACGGGTTGGTATAGGGTTTGTGTCAAGTTTTCCTTCTATCTGCAGTGCTGTTGTCCTGCGTATTTCGCTCCCTTAGTCGCCTCTTACGACTCCCACGGGATGAATAGGGGTGGTGACACTCTGTATTCTTAATCCGTCACCACACGGACAACCCCTGTTCAAAGTTTTCGTGGTCAGTTTAAATTTTTATACGCTTTTTATTTGTCCTGTTTTGTGTACCTACATGTAACGGAGTGTTTCAACTGCACAATAATACAACACAATACAACTTTTCTCTCGTAGGGAGCATTCCGTTTCGATTAACTCAAACATTTATACCAGAATTCAGCACCGACAATACCTAATACAAGATAAAAGATATTTTTTAGTTTAATAAACTAAAAAAACTGTTTTGATAACAAACCAAACTAATAAAAGTTCTATATAAGGCTGGGGTGCTTAATAAGAATCGTTACAAATAATTTATTAGTAGCTATTTATAAAAGTGTCGTTATTTTGAAAGAAGTTTGGGGTAAGTACGTTTCTTTTTCTTCTTTTAGGTCAGTCAACATTTTAAAATTATTATTTGTACACCGTAGGACATAGTGTACCTCTCTCTCTGTGTGTCTTAGAAGACTAAGAACTGTAATTTACCTATGTTTCCGCAAATAAATGATGGTTATGAAAGAGTTTTGCTATATTTAGTTTCACATCACATCACATCAACAGCCTTTACTAGTCCACTGCTGGACATACGCCTCTTCTTAGTAAGGAGGTTTTGGCCTACTATACCACGCTAGCCAGACGGGTTGGTATAGGGTTTGTGTAAAGTTTTCCTTCTCTCTGAAGTGCTGTTGTTCTGAGTAGTTTTTTTCCTTAGTCGGCTCTTAGGACACCCACGGGATGATCACCACCCCGGTGACACTGTGTATTATTAATCCGTCACCACACCGTAGTGTATTAAACTATAATATATTTTATTTTCCAATGAATTAAATTCTACATTGATGATAATTTATCAATGCACGGAGTTATGTGCCTCAGATTGCTGAAAACACAGAGATCATCATATTTGAGCCAAACTAAAAAAACACAGAGCTAGACAGCACTATTTCTGTGGTAATATATTTCCAATTATAAGTAGCCTATGTCCAGCGTGGACTGTGATAGGCTGATGATGATGATGACGTATGGTACCCTAAGTTGCATAGGAATTACTGTAATACGTATCATTATTACATTGAAAATGTTTATTAAAATAGATAATCTCTTACTGTCAGTTAGATTGTTCTTAAGCAAAAAACAACTTTGACATGTTCTCACCTGTCCCCACATCCCAAAAGACGAATACTTCTGTGCGGTAGTCCTTACAGACCAGTCATTAGGTCCTTGCTGGGCAGCTGTCGGCGTTAGTGGTATCTTGGTGAAATATTCCATATGGTCACCAGCCTCCACGACTAATACCTTGACATTTGGATCTTCTGATAAACGAGATGCTAGAACGCATCCTGCAGTGCCGGCCCCAACTAGGAAATAGGAAGTGTGTTTAAGCTGGTTCTTTATTATAGAACTGTTTCTTACACGTGTAATAAAAATAAATGGGAATAATAATAATAACATAATTTATTTTAGAAAACTTGTTTTATATACAAAAGCAATAAATCATTACATCATATCATCAGTTACAATTCACTTAAAAATAATTAAATAAATAAAAATATTAATAAGTAATAAATTACTTCATAGATTCAGATTAAAATGAGGACACGTCAGAAAATCAAGTAAACAATCATAAAATAGTTCATTAAATAGTCTAAATTTGATGTCATAAATTAAATTACTTAACCAACCAGCACAGTCGTCCAATGGTGGCTGATAGGACACTCGTATCTTCCACCAACCGTAGAAGCGGCCTCAGTATGTGTGTAAATATGTCAGAATGTCACCACATTCTCACTTATTTAATTATATTCATCTTTAGAATGCAATCACGATAAATTGAACCTACTTACGAGAAATGGAATAAACTGACACTAAAATAAAAAGCTGTACCCAAAAGCCCGTTGTTCAATATGTACAGCTGTTTAATCTGTACACTGTTGATAAGTAACATATTAAATTATAACACATTATTGTTTTTTTCTGTAACAGTTTATTATTCTGTTTGTAGTTATTTTCTCAATTTTTGCTTCCGTTGGTACTTTTTTTAACAATTGTTACAATTAAATGGTTTGCTATTACATTTTTTCAGGCGTTATAACTCAAAACTCATTGTACACTTACCAATAATATAATCATACCTCTTGAGCGGTTTACTTACTACGCTTGTGTAAGCATTCGTATACTTCTGATATACAATATAAGACACACACGCAATTATAAATCCAAATAAATACGAATATATCGCCATCTTTCACTCTTTGTCACAAATTTCTTCAAAGAAACATTGTCACGTTGATTTTTTTGTACCAGGAGTACATAAGCCGCAAGTTAGGTTAACTAATACTATTCCCAATAGTCTGAAGGCCTATGGTTTGATTTCTCTAATGGCGTTTAATTCCTACTACTAGTTTACTAGTAAGTAATTGAATTAGATAGGGGTTGATAACCTTTTATTTAATATCAGCTATAGTCAACACTAGCTATATTATTGAATTCCTAAGAGTAATTTGTTAAGGGGCATCGACTCACTAAAGTTATAGATTGTTATCGATATATATCCATGTGGTGACGGATTAAGAATACAGAGTGTCACTACTCCTATTCATCCCGTGGTAAGAGTCGATTAAGGAAGCAAACTACGCAGAAAAACAACAAAACTTTGATACTAACCTTATACCAACGCGTCTGGCCAGACGCGTGGTATAGTAGGCCAATACCTCCTTTCTAAGCAAAGCCTATGTTCAGTAATGGACTATTATAAGCTGTTGATGAATGTGTGTAATCATCATTATTTCAGCCATAGAACTTGTTAGTCTATTGGCTAGTAATGATGACTGCTAAACAGAGGTCGTGGGTTCGATTCCCACCCATTACAAATAATAGAGTGATAAGCACGATCATTTTGCTCTGTGACATAGTGCACAACACAATTTGTATGTATTTAGGAATATACCTTAGTATGTTTATAAACAGTTTGGGTACTATTGTACAGGCTTTGCCTAGCTTAGGATTAGACGGCCGTGCGTGCTGAGGTTACTGTTATTACATATGCCTGTTTCAATGAGTTCTAAGAAGCGGCCGGCGGCGGACGTTCAGCGCTACGCTTTCCTAAACCTTTCGGCTCAAGTCTTCCTTCGTTCTGCCAGCTATCATTAAAAAAAACAGTTTGACAATGAACTCCAAATCCCAACGAAAACAAGTTTTTAACGGGTCCTTTAACTTCCAGTAAGGTGAAGGTGTGCAATTCCCATAAAGACTCTGAAATTATATACCTTAACCTTAAAGCCATTCTTTATGTTGTACCTAGGCATATGTCAATAAGAAAATTAGAATCGATAAAATGTTTACAACCCCGGACTGTTAAGAGGATTAGTTACCGTTCACTTGCAAATCAATACTTGTTTTATATTATGTACTCGTATACTAAATAATACCAGTATACACTGTAAAGCCGATATTAGATGGCTTTTGTGTTTAATGATAGCTGCAACCCTTGTACAAGTTTAAAAGATTATATCATTTATGTCAAGATGGAGTGTCGCACTACTACAAGAAACAGCGTGAGGGGTCTATGGACCACTTTTATTTTTTTCTGTGCCGAAATCCCGTCGCTTATCACCCACCGGGGGCTATATCGGACTCGAATCGACTAAAAACCGCAAGTCGTCTCGGGTACCAGTAGCCGGGGAACCAGGTGCACTCTAGAAAGGAAATCCCTGGTACCCCGACGTACCTCGGGCCATCTACCGCGGGTAGATGACCCCCCTTCTGTGTGGGAAACCCAATGTTTCATTGTGCTTTCGTTGTGCTCCCGAAAGGGCACGTGCGCTCTGCAGCGCGTCTCGCCGCCACCCTGGCCTGCTTCTGCTAGGGTGGCAGATGGCCTCACCTGTCACCCCCAGGTTTGCGCTTATGGAGGACGGAGGTCGTTTTGCGATCTCCGGCGCCTGAATCGCCTAAGGTACCTGGCCCGTGCTCGGATTGGCGGGCCGGGAGAGTTCTAAACCTCGCCCGGTCCCGCCCCGCCATCTCCTACGCAAGCATAACTTGCTCGCAGAAAGAGACGTCGGAGTTCCACGCACTCTCGCTCCGCACCATGACCGCAATCATGTTCCCAAGCGAGAGAACTTCCAACCCGATGGCCGAGAGGCCTATGGACCCCTGGTCGGAACGAAGTTCCTTCGTTTTTCTGTAGAAGTTTGCTATGTATATGAAATATAAAAAGATTGAACGTCGACGCGTCAACTGAAGTGTCGGAATAAAGGATTGTTAGGTACACATTTTTCGGCCTCGTTCCCATCCCCTCTGAGGGTGTAACGCGCGATTGGGAACCTATAAATACAAAAATAATGCGATAACTTTGGTAAGATAATGTGCGTGCAAATATGCAACGCAAAAGAATTTAGTGGGCCACAGTTGGACACTAGTTATTGCTGATAATTCTTGCACTGTTTTCTAGTAATAATCAATTCTTACAGGAGTCAATCATAATGATGATGTTAAAAATAGTTTTAAAGTACGGAACGGCTATTTCTGACAATATATAATATTGTTAATTAAGCTATTGAGATCAATTTGAACGAGTCACATATAATATATACCAGAAAATCTAGGCAACATACTGGGAAGAGGTGTGTTTTGGTCGGGCGGTAATCTATATCCCAAAAAAAAAAAACAAAGGAGATGGATCTCATGTCTTTCTTCCAAATGGAACTGTTAACATTCACAGTGATTTTCTGTTAGTTATTTTAGTTGACAAAAATGGCTATATTCAAAAACATCCAACAGATTATTATAGGAATGTTCGATCTGATCCTATACTAATGAGGATCGATACAATGAAATTTGATCTACCTGATTTTCATATCAATGCAATGGCTACGGATCCGTTGGTGGATCGATATACATACACGGATAATCGGACCAAAAAATATTAGTTTTAAAGCCAAGATATTTATTCCGTACTGTGGGTACCCAATTTCTTGACTTCGAGTATAGTGTTATTACAAACATCGGCTATCAAAATTATTGTTTCTACACAGGAATTGAAAGATTGGCAAATTTAAATTTTGTTTTATTTTGTTTATTTCAATTAAACTTTGATGCTTTAACATACACCATGTTTTATTCTTTAAAATACTTGATGCGATACTGGATCAATTAAAAAAATCGATTCAGTGTATTACGTTCCATTGTGATTCATAATATTCATACAAAGCACCTGAATCGAACATCCCAAGGACGAGTAAGATTGATAATGCACAAGTAACTCCTTTTATAACTGTGTTTTTATACTTATTGACCTGTTCATAAGCTGTAAAGCTTATGAACAGGTCAATAAGCTTGTTTCTTCATTGTAGAACTATTATAATAAATAGGCTTTCTACAGATCAACATCTCCCTCTTCAATCATCTGTCCAACAGCAGGGACCACAAGAGGTGCAGTGACAACAGTCTTGCGGCCCTTAGCGTCAATCACTTCGAGAGTCTCAGGTTCAACTTCCATTTCTGTCTCTTCTTCTAATAATCGCTGTTTGAGGCCTGCAGCCGGTGATCTGAGAAGATTGTAAAACATTGTTATAATAATAATAATAATAATAATATATTTATTTGTCAGAATATGGGTTTACAGAGTTGTTAGTAGGTTCGTTTTAGATGCTAGCCACATTCTACCATTATCTGGTGAACAAAATGTTAATATACTGAATTTACTGTTTTTTTTTTTTACAATTTAATCATGCATTATTTAGTAATATAGTAATAATTATGTCACAATTTCTCATCGTCAAAAAATTCTTTAACACTGTAGAAACATTTATCTAAGAGCAACGTAAATAATTTTCTTTTAAAAACATTAATGGTGTCTTCCTTAAATCTATTTGGTAGCTTGTTATAAATATGTATAGCCATACAGTATACATTCCTACTATACATACTTATTCTTTGTCTGGGAACTAAGAGTTTATGTGTGTTTCTGCTTGACCTGGCGACAGCGTCGTTATGTTTACAAAATAGCCGTTGATGTTTGTGCACAAAAACACAAATCTCATAAATGTACAGACTAGGTAGAGGTAGTATGTTGTATTTCTTAAAATGCTCTTTGCAACTATCGGTTTGCTGTAAGTTGGATAGTGCTCGCATACATTTCTTTTGCACAAGAAATGCCCTATTTGCCTCAACTGAATTGCCCCATATTATTATCGCATATCGTAGTTTTGACGACACATAGCCGTGGTATGCGCTTAAAGCAGTGCTAAGAGTCGATATTTGTTTAAGGCGATATATAGCGTAAACAAATTTATCCAAATTCATGCAAAGGTTCTGAATATGTTGCTTCCAATTACAGTGTTTGTCTATTGTAATGCCCAAAAATGACGTCGCGTCCACTTCTTCAACTACATTATTATTACATTTAATATCTAATTTAATGGGTTTACTATTGTATGTCTGAAATTGTATCATTTTCGTTTTATTAACATTTATTTTAAGGTAATTACATTCTAACCAATTGATAATATTACCCAGTTCATTGTTTATCTTATTTTCTATGTTATTTTTATCGCTATCTTCTATAATTAAGGTAATGTCATCGGCGTATAGTACGCATTTATGCTCAGTCACATTCGGTAAATCGTTTATATATAAAATAAACAATAAAGGCCCTAGAATACTCCCCTGAGGTACCCCAGAACTATTTAGTCGTTTAAATTCGGATCTAGAGGATGTTTTATATTTACCAGAAATGCTTGATATCTCTACACATTGATATCTGTTATCTAAGTAGCTTTTAAGCCAATCTAGTGCTTTTCCACGGATTCCATATCTCTCAAGCTTATGGAGTAACAATTTATGATTTACAAAATCGAAAGCCTTGGACATGTCAAGAAATATTGATACTATGTTATTTTTTATATTGAGATTGTCAGTAATTACTTTCGTTAAAGTAAAACATGCCAAGGCAGTAGAGTGATCTTTTCGGAAACCGTGTTGTTCAGGTGTGAGAATGTTATTATTTTCTAAAAATCCATATAATTTAATATGCATTACTTTTTCAAATAATTTTGAAAATATTGGAATCAACGTAATGGGTCTATAATTATTCATGTCATTTGTATCGCCCTTCTTATGCAAAGGTTTGACAACCGATAGTTTTAGTCTAGCAGGTACGTGTCCCTGCATAAGTGACAAATTAATAATATAACATAAGGGAGCAGAAATTATTTTGGCGCATAATTTTAAGATGTCAGTTCTGATGTGATCATAGCCTGTCGAATTAGTGTTATGTAAAGAGTTAATAGCTTTAAAAATGTCAAAATCATTTACAGGAGTCAAAAAAATGGTATCAAAATTATTATTAATTATATAGGGGTAGGTAGTTATATTCGAAACATTTAATTTTGGTACAGAGCTTATAACTGGGGATGTCAATTTTATAAAATAATTATTTAACTGCTGTGCTATTTGGTTCGGATTTGAATATTCCGTACCATTCAGTTTTATTGACGCTATGCAACCAGTGCCCCGTTTATCGCACACATTATTTTTTATAATGTTCCACGCTGCTTTACACTTATTATTGGCATTTTTGATGTAATTCAGACTTTCAACTTTCTGTGCTTGTATAATACATTTTTTAAACACTTTGCTATAATTAGAATATATAAGTTTATGTTTGTTTTTATTTGTCCTAGAGAACCTATACTGCAGATAGAGACGACGTTTATGCTTACTAGATTTTCTAAGTCCCTTAGAAATCCATCGGCATTTAGTCTTTTTAGATATTTTAACAGTAATAGTTGGGAAACATAGATCATAAAATAAAGTAAAGAGATCGTGAAATACATTAAAAGCCTCTTCTGTATCATCACATGCATATACTTCGTTGAATGAGAGGGCAGATAGACATGTAATGAATTTATTAATGTAAGCCTTAGCGAAGTCTCTTTTTTTTTCAAACCAAAACAGATTTTGTTTAGGTACATTACAAGTGTGTTCGAAGGATATAGTTTGAGCTGTTTCGTGATCTGATAATGCCAGCATAAGTATATTGGGTCTGACGGAGGGTAAATTACTCGCTATAATATCAATACAGGAACTTTGACGAGTCGGACATAATATGTGGTTTTTAAAATTAAAGTTATCTAAAATGGCTTGCAAGTCTTTCGTATTTTTTTCATTTGTAAGCATGTCTATATTCCAGTCACCACACAATATAATATTCTTACCTGCCCTTTTGCACACTAAATTTAGAAGACAGTGTAAGTTTTCTAGGAATATCTGGGCATTCTTATTTGGTATACGATATATACATACTACGAGTAACTTAAGTGATAATAGTTCTACTGCACAGTATTCAAAATGATAAGGAATCGGTTGTATTTTGAGGTTAGGTATTTTATATTCATAGTGTTTCTTTACCAATATACACGATTTATATTATATTAATACATGACGAGAAAACCTTAACTTTGAATGAATTGCAATTGATTGCTGTAGGTGCATTTTGATTGCAAGTCCAAGAAATATAATAATAGTAAAGTTTATTTCTCTTCCACAAAGGTTCCTTTTAATTAAAACTTAGAAAAATATTGAGAGTACGTGGTTTTTAATTCCTTTGTGGGAGACTGATATCCGTACTAGGTATCCCTGTCACACACACCCCCAGGATAAAATATGCTTACATAGTAACAAGCTACTCTAGAATATTAAATATAGGAAGGAATAACAGATATTTATAGACTAATGTGGGTGTGTGTTTGCATGCGTGTGTATGTATGTATGTGTGTGTGTGTGCGTATGTGTTTGGGTGTGTATGTTCAGATCCTATTTATTTCGCTATTTCACTAGGAAACCATTAAGTACTTTTCAATTTTATGAAGTTAGAGGGGTTCTACTTTTTTGCTAATATTACAATTTAATAAACCTCTGATTACCCCTTTGGAGTCCCGTGACTTTGAAGGGGTAATCGGAAGTTTATTAAATTCATCATCATAGTTCACTCATCTTGTTAAGTTGTATGTTGATGAGTCAACTATGTACAATCAGTCAATTCTCTATCTAATGGAGCATGTCTTTGATCATCAAGGGGGTTTCATATGAAAAACTCAAAAAAAGTGAAAATAGTAAAATTAACATCAGAGCACAGTTAGCAAGCTAGGATTTGGATGCAGTGTAAGGATTCAAAATTTATTAGCAGCAGTGAGTGACATCTTGGCTTATCTGCTGTCTGAAGTAGCTTAAATCAGCACTTGTTCATTTCCTGGCACTTTTATTTTAAAAGCGATAGCAACACAACCAAAAATTGGAAGCAAACTATAATTTCACCTGGTTAAAGTTTTAAATTAATTGGTATGAAGTAGACTTGCAACGAATATTCGGTTACTATTCGGTATTCGGCCTATTCGGCTGATTTTATTATATTCGGCCGAATACCGAATATCTACATATTATTCGGCCGAATACCGAATACTTAAATAATATATTTTGTCATTGAGAAATAATTGGTAAAATGAAAAATTAAAATCGATTGATTACGTATATATTCATATTTTCATTTCTGGTATAATCATTTAAGTAGTCATTGGTGCATAACACAGGTACGTAATCATATTCTGAATAGGAAAAATGGAGGATTCTATGTATTTGAATTATTGTGGTAATCAAAATTTAGAAGGGTAAGGTTCTCATTTCTTTTATAATCATTTATTAAGTAGTCATTGGTACATAAAACAGGTACATAATTTAATTCACGTCTGTACAAATTTTTGGCGCTAAAATCCAGCCGAATACTTTTGCCTAATATTCGGCTATTCGGTCAGGGGCCTGGCCGAATATTCGGTATTCGGTATACTGCCGAATATACTATTCGTTGCAAGTCTAGTATGAAGCTAACCCTGGCTCATTGATCCCATTTAGTATAAACAGATCAACTAAATAAGCCTCCTATCACTAGTATTCCTAGTTTGAACCTAAATCTAGCATAGACAACTGCATCTCTTTAGATGGTTAAGTATTGAAAAAAAAAACCTTAAAAGTACATAAAACTTACTTGATCAATGAGATATCCTGTTGTACTTCTCTGACATCTCTCTGCCATTCCACTTCTCTACCCTTCCTCAACCTTTGCATAATATAGTTATTACTCCTTCTCTGTCTTATTTCTTCCACTTTTTTCATTGCCTCAATAGTTTTTGTCCACAATTCTCGGCTGTATTTAACCGGAGCATTTCTACGTTTCTCGAACTCAAAGGATGGGTCAATGGCCAGGTCTTTGCCAGCGGTCTTACGGTAAGCTTTGGTCCATTTAGTTTTACGTGGATTCTTCTTCTTTTTAAATGCTGCATGACATTTTGAACGACAAAATCTGAAAATCTGTATACCAGTAGGTTAGTGTCGTAATATTATGAAAATTTCGTTTGGGATTACAAGACAAACAATTCAAATTTTACTTACTTTGCAATCGTTTCTGACGAATTGTATGCCATGTCCAGGATAAATCCTGGACGAGCAGAAATAACAAGTTTCAATACGCATTGTTCACACACGTGCGTATTTATTTGATGGCACGTCAAAAAGGGGCTAAAGCCAGAACTGACAGTCTGACACAGATAAAATATCTGTGGTCTGACAAACTCAGAAGACAATGTTGCCATCCATGTTCTGAAGTGGTTTTTCCTAGAAAATGACTACCTCTCATTGAGTGATTCCTGTTTTTAATTATTTATAAATGGTTATATTTAGTGGAGTAGATTAGAAACAAAAAAAAACAATTTAAAGATATTTTGTGAATAAAAAAACACTGAATTGTTTTTTGAAGACTATTTGATTTCAATAAAACCCTCCTATATTACCCTTAACTTGTTTTTATAGACATATTTATTGCACGGATGGTGTAGTGGTTAAAGTGGTCATCTCGCCGCTTCCTACTACTCTGAGTGTTGTGATTTCACTTTGTGTGATTCACAAATTATTGTTCTGAGTTTAGGTGATCTTTGTGTCCGTTTCATGTATGTTTGTAAAGTCCCCCGCGACGCCACTCAGGATATTAATCGACTGGAGTTGTCACTGTAGTTCACAGTGATGCCAACTCTGAAAACAAAATTGTAGTACTGACCGATCACGATATGGTAAATCCGTAGTTTATTAGAAAGTAAAATAATGTTTATGTTCAGTTCTTAATAAATCTATTAGGTAGTATTTATTATCATGACTTTACAGTGTTAGTGGTGTTTACATTTTTATTGAAACAACATTGATATGTTGGTAGAACTTATTAAATGTCATTAAAACAGTTGAAACTTGATGTTTTGGACATAACTTTTTTTATTTTCTGCACTCTTTTAGTTAGTCAATAACTCTATTTTTTATAAAAGATGAACAGTTAAAACTATTAACTCTGGGTGAAAACCAATATCGTTTATAGTGACATCTACTACTATTATGAAACATTGAAAAAGGTAAAGTGAAGTTAGTTTTGCTATTCAACACTAGATGTCACCATAAAACATTTATTGCATTTTTATCACTAGATGGCGTTGTATTAAGTTAATGTAAATTGCTTAGTCTCTTATTGGTTTATACCTCACATTTAAATTGCCATCAATAAAATTTACATAATTACAAAATTGAGTTTTGTTATACTTTATTTATACCAATTTGCATAACAGAACGAGAAAATCCTGTCATAACATGTCCTGTGTGCGACTAGTCTATGGGTTAAAAATTGTTACCTCAAATACAATAATGACAGTCAAATCACAGTATTTACATAATCTGTTTTGAATAACGTCTTACGATATTGCGCCCTTAGTTTGAAAAGTAACTTAAAACAAAATTCTGTTGTAAGGAATCAACCGCAGTAGTACCACGGCCTTACAAAAAATCGGTATTAAGCAGTATTTTCGTTGCTTTTCACAGATTCAGGTTATTTGAGCCCTCCTTCCCCCACCCCTCACCTCGGTTCTGGGGGTAGGCGTAGGGTAGCGGAGCGCACTTGTGCCTTTTGAGATACCTGTGTTCATTGACGGCATAAGACACTTAAATCAGAGGGCTGAGTGCAAGTTAATTTCTCATCGACTCGCTCTCGACGGCGAGCGCGTTTTGCGTTGCGATTGGTGGAGATTTCAGTGCGGACCAATCGTAGCGCCAAACGCGGCCACCGTGACCATCTAGTAGAAGTGAAATAAACTCGCACTTGGCCCTCAGGTGACCCGTCTGCTCATTTACTCCTTTCTTTATTTGTTGACGGGCTCAGATGATATAAAAACGTTAAGATGGTACGTTTTACCTGCCCCGTACCCCCCGTACCCGAGTACGTGGTATTTTCACTAAAAACCACCTCGACAGCTGGCCCTACTCTCGTTTGCCCCTATAAGATAAAAAATCGATTTTAAATTACAAAATTACTTTAATAAACCTTAAACCAAACTTACTGTACAACAATGTAAAACGGTAAATAATAATAATCATTAATTAAATACATTTAAGTAGACTTTTTATTTGTAAATACATGCAAATTAAACATAGGAACTCCCTTATCAAATCAAACATTAAATGTTCATCCGCACAAATGTTTGACTAGAGAGGGAATCGAGTTCAATCGAATCGAATCGTGCCAGTGGTGCTCATTCTGTTGTTCGAAAACTCTCTGAACTAAACTAAAAATCACTAAAAATTAGTTTAGTCCTGTCACACAACGTTTCGTATTCTGAGAACTTATTACTTGTCAGGACTAAACTAAATTTTAGTGATTTTTAGTTTAGTTTAGTGAAATATCCGTGATTTCATTTTTTTTTAAATAATAATAATATCTTGACTATTTCAAACACGGCCTTCTGATCCTAAACTAGGCAAATCGTGTACTATGATTCCGATTTGTAAAAATATTTACTTACCGAAATAAATATCATTTAACTGTTAAACATACTTTAAACGAGCAATTCTTGTATATATATATTTTGAATCTCGGAAACGGTTCCAACGATTTTCATGAAATTTAGTATGCAGGGGGTTTCGGGGGCGATTAATCGATATAGCTAGGTTTCATTTTTAGAAAATTTAAAAAAAAATAAATACCGAGCAAAGCTCGGTCATCCAGGTACTATTTCTTTATACATACTACACATATATTCACGCAGATATAATAAAATAAGGATCGTTCACACAATATTTTTGTCTTAGGTGGGAATCGAGCCCACGACCTATAGTTTAGCAGTTATTATCACTAACCACTGGACAAAAGGCCAGTCATATGTTTCAAAATTTGCAAAACGTCATTAAGCGACAGACCGTTTCTTGAATATTATAGTAATCCTGTTGGTTTAGTGGTTAGCAGTCCTAACTACTAAGCCAGTGGTCTTGGATTCTCAACCAGAACCATCATTGTGTGTTGATTATGATCGTTTGTTCTGCGTATTTGTGTTATTCTTATATACATTATGTATATAATTACCAACCAACTAATATCGTCTGGCGAACGTGGTATAGTAGGCCAAAACCTCCTTTCTAAGGAGAGGCCTACGTCCAGCAGTGGACTATTAACGGCTGATGAATGTGATGTCATGTGATATTATCTATACAAATAAATAAAATTGAAGTGTCTGTTTGTAATGTCAAAATAAAGTAATAGGTTTTTTTCATGCTCACACGGTTATTCGCACGATACCTATGCCTAAAACCAGTTTAAATATTTTTTGTCTGTCTGTCTGTTTGTTTGTGCTGAGTAATCTTCAAAACGGCTGGACCGATTTTGACATTATTTTACTACCAAGTAGCTGTCTATGTAAGGAGTAACTTAGGTTATTTTTCTCTCAGAAAACCCTATAAATTTTGCTCTGTCCGGGAATCGAACCCTGGCCTGTTGGTCTAGTGGTTAGTGACCCTGACTGCCAAACCGTAGGTCGTGGGTTCGATTCCCACCCAGGACAAATATTCTGTGATGAGCACGGTCATTTGTTCTGTGTCTGGGTGTAATTTATCTATAATATATATAATATGTATGTATTTAAAAATATTTAAATATGTTTATCAGCAGTCTGTTTACCATAGTACAGGCTCTGCCTAGTTTGGGATCAGACGGCCGTGTGTGAGGTGTGTGAGATATATTATTATTTTATTATTATTATTATTGAAGGAGCGCTTTTCAAATTCTCAGAAGTCGCGGGCACTAGATAGTTAAGAATATATCCACTCAGTTGACGGCAATATTACCTAAGTGGGGTTAAAATTATAGTCTACAAAATTTATGTTTAACGCTCCTCTGTCCATCCCTACGGTTATAAGGACGTGAGTGTGTGTAAAAAGCCATACTAATGTTTTAAATGCGAAAGTGTGTCTGTCTGTCTGTTAGCTTTACACGCTTAAACCGCTCTACCCATTTAGATGATATTTGGTATAGAGATAGTTTGAGCCTCGGGGAAGGACATAGGATAGTTTTTATCCTTTAGTTTGGCCAGCCGCGAGGGGGCAGCGTCCGCGTGTGCCGGACGCCGCCTAAAGAGAGGTCAATTTGAGACGGAGCCCGCACCAGGAGCGGGCCGGCGCTGGGAGGGGTCCAGAAGGAGATAGCTACCTGGACCCCTCCTAAACTGGAAGCGCAAAGAGGGCACACCGTGTGGTTTTAGTCGGTTCGAGTCCGACACACCGCCCCGCCGAACGAGAGCCCCGGCGGGGTGACGGTCCGAGGGGATTTCCACACGTAAAAAAAAAAAAGGATAGTTTTTATCCTAGAAATCAGCCTTTAAGGGGTTGGAAGTTTATATGGGGAATCAATAACCGCTAAACCGATTTAGAAAAATTGGTACGAAACGGAAATTTGGTAAGCCGATAGCTTGAATTCTGAGAAAGGACATTGCACACAGGCTACTATTAGAAAGTAAATTAAAATAAAACATAGGTCACTGTTAAGTCCCTACGACTTGCAAGACATTAGTATTACGTCACAATTGTTAAACTGTGACGTCAAACAAAAGTTACTGCAATGTATTTTTATCCAAGTCAGCATTTGCAAAGTACATCCTTAAATATCAGCATTATAATGGTGGTAATGATCGCGTGCATTGGTGGTGGTCTATTCATGCAACCCACGTGTGTTAATGAGATGACGGCCGTGAACTGATTCGACATTGCTTCATTAAAGTGAGCAGAAATCACGTCATCATGCGACTTTTGAATTTATATCGAGTGAATTAGACGAAAAATTGTTTTGAATGTACTTAATCGCATAATATGTCGTCGATTTGGTGTGTTATGTGATTTTAATTTCATTTTTATTGACGGACGTGGTTAGTGTGTTAATGTTTTATTTAAATGTGGTGTTCTGGGTGGTATAAGCTTTAGATGGATGGATGGCATCATTTGGGAAGAATTTGTTTGTTTCACACAAAAGAAGATATCCTTACAATTACTTAAAGTGGCGATTAGCCACGGAATGCATTCACACACGGAATGACTTATAATTCTTGTATTTATTAATTTAAATATATTAATAGGTCTTTACCTATGAAATTGCTGTTTCGTATGCAATAAGTGAAAGT